ATATATAAATGATGCTGGCCAAAAATGTGTTTTGACTACATTGAAAGACACAGTTTCTGTTTCTAGAGCCAGACATCTCTATGTTTTATTTCTAACACAAAGCAAACTTTTGAGGCTTTATTGCAAGGGTGGATAAACTAGGGGTGTGTGTGGGGTGTGTGCAGCCCTCCAAGGCAATTCTTGCCCTCCCAGAAAAGTATGCTCAAAATAGTTACCTTCTCCCCTGGACTGCAAGGAGAACAAACCTATCAGTTCCAAAGGAAATCAACCCTGAGTGCTCACGGGAAGGACAGATCCTGAAGCTGAGGCTCCAGTACTTTGGCCATCTCATGAGAAGAAAAGATTCCCTGGAAAAGACTCTGATGTTGGGAAAGTGTGATGGCAAGAGGAGAAGGGGACGACCGAGGATGCGATGGTTGGACAGTGTCATCGAAGCAACCAACATGAATTTGACACAACTCCGGGAGGCGGTGGAAGATAGGAGGGCCTGGCGTGCTCTGGTCCATGGGGTCACGAAGAGTCGGACATGACTAAACAACTAAACACACACAGACACAGTTACTTTCAGTGCCTGGGAGTCTCTGGGAGTAATGGTCTTTCAATAAGCAGGATAAAGGGCTCCCATCCTGCAAAAGCTAGACGTAAACTCCCAGCAACTTTTCATCATATTACATTTTCTGCTTGTTTCTGGAGTTGGCACAGCCCACAGGATGGGATGGAGGTGAGAAACTGGCGCCCGCTCCCCTCATTGCTCAGCCAGCACTACAGGGTCTGTAGAAGTGAAGGTTTGGATAATTGCAACTCAGGGCCAGGTAAACAGTTAATATTTAAATATAAGCATCCTTCCAATTAATACCTTTCCCTTTGTTCTGAAAGCCCTAGAGGACTTTCTAATGTGTTTCCATCCTTTCAACGTCATGTCATGGAGTTGTTGTGAGGAAAAAGAAAATAAATGTCCCTCTTTGCAGGTCCATGTACATTAGTATCAACGTTGCTACTTGGAGATGAGATGAACAAGCCATAAGGGAGCTAAAACAGCCACCATAAAGACGTGATCGCTGTCTCACTCTGTCCTCAAGCTAAGAAGAAGCTGAAGAAATGAAAACAAACAGCGTGCTATTTACACCACGGTGTCGCCAGCAGATCTGGGCCTTTTCCCTGCCCCTTCTTCCTCTTTCTCCTCTGCAAACTCCTCATCCCTTATGTATAAGTGATGAGGCGGCTTTGTTGGCTTAAAATACCTGCCTGCCTGCCTCCAGACAGGAAAGACAAAAAGGTGCCGAATTAAGACAGCTGTTCATTGTGGTGTTTGAATGCCACTTTTTCTGTTGTGTGAATTTGGGGTTGGGAGTCCCCACATTGTTTTAGGCTGCACTGCTGTACTTAGACCTTCTGGCACTAGAACTCCCTTCATTCCTTACTATTGGTTACGTTGGGTAGGGTTGATATGACAGGTGGCTCAATAACAGCTGGAGAACCACAGGTTCCTCACCATTACTAGACACACTTTCTTCTGGGTATTAATTTGAGGTAGATTAATTCTAGGACTATTAAGATCGCTCACTGGAAGGACAGATCCTGAAGCTGAGGCTCCAATACTTAGGCCATCTCAGGAGAAGAGAAGACTCCCTGGAAAAGACCCTGATGTTGGGAAAGTGTGAAGGCAAGAGGAGAAGGGGACGACAGAGAATGAGATGGTTGGACAGTGTCATCGAAGCTGCCAGCATGAATTTGACCAAACTCTGGGAGGCAGTGGAAGACAGGAGGGCCTGGCGTGCTCTGGTCCATGGGGTCACAAAGAGTCGGACACGACTTAATGACTAAACAAAAACAAATTAAGATTCTAGTTTTGAATGTTCAGACTTCACAAGGACATACTTGCATCTAACTCACCACAGGTCACAGGAATTTGAGTCAGTTGCAAACAGATGATAACAAACATCCGTTGGAAACACAGACTCCAAATGACCTTTGAAACAAAAACTCAAAATTAAAAATCTAAAAGTTCTGCTTCTTTACTTTAGGCGCAAAACCAAGGTGAGCGGAACCGCAGTCCTCATCCCACTGCCTGTTGCAATAAATAATTAGGCATCATCAAGCCAAATCCAGTCTATGGTAACCCTTTCCAGGATTCTCTAGTTAATCAGAAGTGGTTCACCATTCCCTTCTTTTTCTGCGGGGGACTCTGGGACTGCACAGCTTGCCCAAAGCCCCATAGGCTAGTTCTGCTCCTGGGAGACACACTGGGGAATCAAACTCTTTCTCCTTGGTTCAGCTCCAACTCACTAAGCTATCCAGAAATATGGAGATAATAATACTGGCCTGCCTGAAAGGGTAGGTGTTGTTATAAGAGTCACTGAAAAAAATGGATGCCACCCACTGGGTATCTCCTCGTGTAAAATATTCAAAGTTACTGTACAGCTATCAGGCCTTTCCTTCCTGAAGCAATTTTCTGGATTGGAAAAAGTGGATGAGAAACAAGAGAATTATAAGTAGAACATGGTCATTGGAAACCCCTTGGGAAATTGGAGTATGAGTCATGGCAACTGCAAAATAGAAGCTTCACCTGGACGCATCCTACTTCTGGAAAGTACTTCAAGCATACTGTACTATTATCGAAATGTAAATTGTGGCCTTTGTTGTTCTTACAGATTATTTGTCTTTCCCATCCACCTTCTCACCAATTTTGAAGACTTCTCCTCCCATGCATTGTAACTGCCAACAATACAATTGGCACTTACAATTGATAATTATAGTTTTTAATTTCAATTTCCTAGCCCTCCTTGCAACTCGTAACAAGCTCTCAAGCGAGATGGCAAATTAGGCACTGCAATCTTCCACTGCATTGCATTGATTCTTGGTTTAACAATAATAATCTTAGAACTGCAGAACTGGAATCATTGAGTCCAGCCCCTGTCAAGGAGGCATGGTGAGGAATCGAACTCCCAACCAGATACCTAAACCACTGAACTATCTAGCAGTGTAATGTTCACAGGTTTGCAGCCAAAATATCCCCTACTGGTAAAACTTTCACCCTGCTTTTTTTCCCTCTTCTGCCTTTCTACACAGAGCTAGAAAGACAAAGCACCTGCATCTGGCACGTGTAAGATGCCACAAGGTTTAATTCTAAATAAGTGCCTTTAGCACCAGTGTGTAACTTAAAAGAAAGAAAAACTTCAGCCCCAAAACACTGAAATATTTAGCAGATTGCAGGGATCACAGGGATTTGAGGATGACATCCCCAAATATAGTGCAAGGCAAACTTACTCCCCCGTGATTAAGTAGGGCTTTTTTCCACATAAATGTCCCCAGGAGTTGGATTGGGGGGGGCACTGACTCCAGCACAATCATCCACAAGATCCTTTGCCCAGCTTTGCATTGCACTCCTTCCAGATAAGTGGTTCTGGTGACAGTGACTGTAGGTTTCCAGAAAAGCCCAACTAAAATGAGCACTAACAAAGAGGAAAGCTTTTCTGGGCTGCCTGACTTTTAGAGGACAGGTTAAGGCATTGTTCTGATTTGATTTTAATTTATTTTAATTTTAAAGCTAAGCAGGGTGAGGAAAGGCCTGGCTAAAGGAAAATTTCATATGTGGAATTCGTTGGAAAGAAACTTAACCTACATTTTCTTCCCTGACTACTCATTTTGAAGCCTCTCTCATCCTTCACTGGGTAAAAAATTAATCCGTGTTCTCCCCCCCCCCCACCCTGCAGCCATGTGATTCTTGGAGGGGGAGGGAATCTTCTTTAGCCCAGCCCGTCGTTTTTTTAGGTTGGAGGCTCTACTGCAGAGTGTGAAGCTCAAAAGAGGGCAGCGCTAAGTGAGGGATCTCCTGGGCAGCTGTCCCCAAATCAAGATGTCCAGGTCTTGGGCTGCATCTGTCCAGCGGACTTTTCCTGCCTCACCTCATATGCCAAGGTTCTAAAGAGGGCTCTCCTTCGCCTTCCCGGACCTCAGCTTTGCTGGACCTGGTGGGACCTCGGCTCTTCCTGGCGCTGAAGGACTTTCGGTGGAAGCAAGATTAGAACCCCTTACCCGAGAGATTCCTGCCGCCCACTCGCAGAGAAAGGCATTGCAGGTCCTACATCATCAACCTGGCACGAGCCTGCTCAGAAAAGAGAGCTTAGCCACAGCAGAAATGGGGCTCTTTATTAGGGCGGAGCCGGAAATGCAAACACTGGCCGTTTATAGGGCAAATCAAATTGTGGGCAGCGGTAGGGAAGATGAGAGGGAGAAGAAGTCCGATCCTATGCAGAAGTAAATCCTCTTCAGTTCAACCGGAGGTACATTCCCCATTCAAAGCGCATACATAGGATCGCAGCCTACATCTGCAGCTTTGGGGCCAAGCTCCGCCGAAGAAAGCCAGACTTACCTCCTGGCTCGCGTCGCCTTTACCCAAGCCGAAATGTCTTCGGCCCCTGACATTGCCGCCGACATAAACGACGGGGCGGCCGGAGCGGAGCTACTTAGCGAGCGGGCGGCCGACCTCAGGCCCCTTTTCCCCAGGTAATCCGACAGACCTACCTGCCCGGGTTGTTGTGAGGAAACAGGGAGCCCTACTCTCAAGCGCCGCGTCCTGGCGGGGCAGGAGGCTGAGAGGCGGGGGGATCCTATTAGAAGCCCAGGAGTGTCACTCCCACACGCGCGCACACGCACACACACACACCACCCCGCTCCCAACAAGCTCCCCCCCCTCCCCGCGTCCTGATCTGGGTTGGCCACGGCCATCGGAGGAAGTGGGGAGCGGGGGAATCGCCGCCGCCGCCGCCCTCGCAGCGAGCCGGCGAAAGTGTTAACCAGGAGCGCGGCGCG